ATGGTGTTATTTCACGGATTAGGCTTGTAATTGATGGAAAATTAGTGGTTAAAATTGAAGAGCTAGGGCTTGTAATTGGAGACCAAAAATTAGGGGTTTGAGGGATCATTTGTGGTTAGATTTCGGTAAATTTGATATGCATGAACTCGTGGGAGGATAAGGATTCCACTGATGTAAATTTTACCCGATTTCGAGATGTGGGCCCGGGGGCGTTTTGGTCATTTTTTCTAATTTCGCGTATTAGCTTAGAATTAATTAGTTGAATTAGTTACTTGAAGTGTTATTTACATTATGCAATTACTTTGAATAGATTTGGGACATTTGGAGTCGGATACTCGTGGCAAGAACGTGGTATAGATTTGATTGAGCTGGTTCGAGGTAAGTGGCTTGTCTAACCTTGTGTGGGGGAACTCCCCTTAGGATTTGGTACTGTGATATCTGAAATGCCTTGTACGTGAGGTGACGAGCGCGTACTTGTGCTGATTGTTGAAAATCCTATTTTCCATTTAAGTTTCTATATTTCGTATTTTACTTTACTGTTTACACTACTTGAACTTTGAGCTTACTGTTAGCTTAGGAAAGCATGCCTAAATGACTAAATTGCCTACTTGCTCAACCTGCGTTATCTGAACTCTGTACAGCATGCTAGATTAGAATTACCTGTCTATTTTGATATTAATAGTTGATTATTCTTGTGTTGTTGTTGCGTGTTTACATTGGGACTACGGGCGGTTCCCGGTAGATCCCCCTTGTCTGTTTATTTGGACTACGGATGTGGTATTCTGGTAGATTCCCCATGCACAGTGATATGGACTACGGGACAGCACCCGGGAGATCCATTGATTATTTTGTTTTGGGACTACGGATGTGGTATTCCAGTAGATCCCCCTACACAGAGATATGGACTGCGGGACAGCACTTGGGACATCCACCGATTATTTACTTTTTGGGCTACAGGACCGGATCTTGGTAGACCCCCGGTTGTTATCTCTATGTTGAGTTGTATATCTTCTGTGATTATTTGCCTTGGTTGTGGTTGTTGTTTCTCACATTATCTGTATTTCTTTACTACTGCTCATCTTCCTTATATATTATTGTATATGACCGGTAGGGCCCTGACCTTCCTCGTCACTACTCGACCGGGGTTAGGCTTGGCACTTACTGGGTACCGCTGTGGTGTACTCATGCCCTTTCCTGCACATGTTTTTGCGTGTGCAGATCCAGGTACTTCTACTCAGTCTTATCATCCTTGAGGCAAGGCGCTTCTGTAGAGACTTCGAGGTATATCTGCCGCGTCCGCAGACCGAGGAGTCCCTTTCTATTCTATGTACTAGTATAGTCCTTCTGTATCTTCCTTGTTGATAGACATTCTGGAGTTAGAGCCTTTTATGTACTCTTAGCTTATGATTCATGGGATTCCGGATTTTGGGAGTGTTCAGTTGGAAATCTTGTATTGTTATATGCTGGGTGGCATCTGAAACACTGTTATACTTTGTTATCTCGGTTTTTATTAGTTTCTTTTCCGCAATTAATTCTTTTCCGCATTTGTTAGGCTTACCTAGTCGTAGAGACTAGGTGCCGTCACGACTGTTCACGGAGGGCAAACTTGGACACCCCTTTCCATCAATTCCGATGCAGCTCTATGCCTTTCAACAAACCTCTCCGCCATCTGTTTGAATATCATTCGGACCATGGCAGTGACAGGCAATCCACGTGCAGACTTCAATAGCCTGTTGAATGACTCCGACACATTTGTAGTCAGGGCTCCCCATCGTCTGCCACCATCAGCATGCAATGTCCACTTGTGAAGCTCATGTCCCATCAACCAATTATAGGCTCTTTCGTTTAACTGTTAGAACGATTCCATGCGCCTCCTGAATTTGCACTGCTTGTGCTCAGTTGCAGCCATCCACATTAAATCACGCAAGGCCTTGTCGGGATATTTCTTCTGGAAGTTGGCCTTCAGGTGCCTCACACAGTAACGGTGGTATGCATAGGGTTCCTGCTATTCCGACAAATGTCGTACAGAACTTAAAATACCACCATGCCGATCAGATATTAGACAAATACCTGAACGTTGTTTGACAACGTGCTGCTTCAAGTGGTTCAAAAATAGCGTCCACGTCTCTTCGCTTTCATTGGCACAAATGGCAAAAGCTAGTGGAAATATTTGTCCATTGGCATCTACTGCAATGACGATCAACAGCTTAATATCATACTTTCCATAGACATGAATACCGTCTATGGAAATTACCGGACGGTAATGCACAAAACCATCAATTGCTAGTTTAAATGCCCAGAACACGAATCTGAATATATATATATTCCGGTATTCCTGGACTCTGCTCATGCTTCCATTCAACAACGGTCCCGGGGTTAAAGTGTTTAGTGCGGCCATGTACCTGGGTAGAGATGAAAATGACTTATCCCAGTCACCATAAATAATTTCAAATGCACGTTTGCGCCCGAGATATGCCTTTCTTTTGGATATAGTACACCCACATTCCTGGTGAACGGATGTAATACACTCTTTGATCTTGTACCTAATGAACACTTCCAAGTGTGGAATCAAGATAAGAGAAATCAAGTCAACATCCAAGTTGAAGTGATTCTCATTGAATGTGTCTATTTCACAAACGTGGGTGCCAATATATTTACCCACTTTTCACAACCCTGTTTCCTTCTTGCTCGCACGCAACATCCAGTTAGAACCCATAAAGTCTCTACGGCATACAGCCTTGTATACCTCCGGAGTTGCCTTCCTTACCGTCATCTCACGGCACTCTCTTATGTTGTAGATTTTTACATCCCTGATTAGGCGAGCTTTATCGGGAAAATACATGCTCTTTGCCAGCACCGTTGGTCTAGACTCATTCCACATTGCTGACCAAAATTCGTCAAGATCCTTTGTGAGGGCATCCACATCCGGCATACTTGGGAAATTATCAAGGTAGGGAATATTCCGCTAATGAAACAGCACGTGGGACTCGTACACTCTTGGTCTAACGGGAGGTGGAGGAGCATGCTCCCTCGTCAGCTCAGGTTCAACATTCACTTCCTCCTCATCATCACCCTTGTCAGGGAAGGGTGCGTCATCTCCAGACTCATCGGCATTGTTGTCATAATCACTATTATCTTCCTGACTATGCGCATCTGCCAAATCACGAGTAAATACGTCGTCTACGGGCAACTGAGTGAGGTCAGGACCATCAAGTTGCTCGTTTTCACTGCACAAAAGAACAAAATGATAAGCTACTCAAATTGATAAATATTTTACATATAGCTATATCACTTCACTTACAAGTCGTACTGTGTTGACATTCCATGATGGATATCTTTTTCTGTTGGTGATGACTCCCGGATGGACCACCGTGATCCAACATGCCAGAACTACGCATATTCCAACTGGGAGTGGGGTCATAACTTGTAAAATTCATATCCGAACGGTACCCCCTGTGGAATATATGAGTGTTAATACTAATTCAATTCAACAAAAAAATAAAACATCGTAACAGAAAGGAAAATTAAAGTTTACCAGTCGTCTTGTGGATTGTGTAAAGTAGGAGAGAAATTATTTCCTCGCTCCTCGTTCGCCTGCGGAGATAAGTTAAGATCCGGCCAAACTCTTTCAGCCAGAACCTGTTGGGCTAAAATTGCTCCAGAATAACCACCCAATGATTGAGGGTTATCCCTCATTTGCACAATCTCATTATTGCGAACGTCTTCAACCTTGACGTACATTTCCAACAATTTTATCACAATAAATTCCCTGTATTCATCCGGAACCCCCAAAAAATCTCTCAGAGTTTCATCGTCTTCGATGTTAAACTCAGAATAACAAGCAAACCCCTACGGAGTCACAGAATATGGATATCTTCCGGTTATTTTAAGATTCACCGAACGTTTGCTCAATCTCATTTTATTGCATAACAACGATACCAGTCTATCATACTACATTGAAAGTGGCAACTTAACATGACTTTGTGGAGATGAACTATAACTCACTAAGTTATTCGCCACCACAACCTCACACCCCCAATATAATGAAACCCTTATTTTTCGCTCTTCAAACATGATGAACAAAGCTTGAGAATTTAACAACAAGAAAAATTTATCACGAAGTTGGAGTATTTCCGAATGATAATTCTCAAAACCCTTAACGTCTTTATATAAGGCAATGCCCAATCCGGGGATCAAATTTTTGGAAGTAAAACGCGGTTTAAAAGAGCGTTTTACATATTTGAATTATTGTTATGTCAGATAAACGCAGAACAATTATTGGTGGGCCCACTTTCTATATAAAACGCGGTACTGTACCGCATTTTATATAAATCGTGGTAACAGACCGCGTTTTATATACCCCTCTTTTCAAACCCAGTAAATCGTGGTATATAACCGCGTTCTATATATAACGCGGTACAGTACCGCGTTTTACCTTAACGGCCGTTTGGACCGTTAAGGTGAAACGCGGTATTGTATCGCGTTATATATAGAAAAATAATACTTTTATTTTTATACATTAAAAACGTATTTTGAGTCAAAATCAACAACATTTAGGTTTCGGACTCCTTATTCCCTCCTTGCTTTTTTTAAGAGGGAGAGGGCATTGTACTAATTCAGAGTTCATAAAGTCAATGTATATTTTTAAATAAGGATCCCTATTTATTACAAAGTCAGATCATAAAATTGAAGAAAGGAAAGTGAATGAGTCATCTCTATTGTTTTTGTTCCTTTGGTCTCCCATGTGGATTTGAACCGATGACTTACTCTAAATTCGATCACCTCCTCCATCTTCCTTTTGTTTCTTATTAATATTTGGCTGCTGCCACGCTTTACTTTACAATGGAAAATGTTGAAAGCAATGGTCTGGGAAATGCCTTCTTACGCAAACATTTATTAAATGAAAATGGAACTGTTCGTAACTCAATAATATTCATAAAAAAAATGAGTTTTATGACATTGACTTCTGCCAGCCAACACTCTTTCTATAGAAAGTAATCTTACACAGAGTGGTACCAAACTAGTATACATGTATTTCCAATTCAATGCTATTATAAAACAAACTCATCTCCAAGTTATTGGTCGTTCAGAAACTTGTTCAAGTACTCTAATGGCTTTGAGCTCAAGCTTGTTTCACTACTGCGTACTCTGCATCTTTGTTTTGATTGCTTGTTTTACTACCCCAATTGTCTCTATTAGCAGTCATGAAAAATCTCAAGCTGCCCTTTTCGTGTTTGGTGATTCAGTATTCGATCCTGGGAATAATAACTACATCAATACCGTTACTGACTTCCAAGCAAATTTTCGGCCGTATGGAGAATCATTCTTCAAGCACCCTACTGGACGATTCTCCGATGGACGTCTCATTCCTGATTTTATCGGTAAATTTACGTCGTTAGTTTGGTCAATTGCTATATGAATCATTGTATCTATTCCATTTCACTTAAATTAAAGTGATAAACCCCCTGCTCTCTACGGATCATTATGGTTCATGTACTTATCCTATGTATCCTCAACTTACTACTATTTAGAGGATTTATGATAATTATATGACAAGAAAGGGTTGTTCAAGTGGTAAGCACCCTCCACTTTCAATTCTATGGTTGTAGGTTCGAGTCACCTCTGCCTTGAAAGGCAGAATTGGGACTCGCCCGGGGCTCGACCCGGGCGGAGCACTCGTAAAACGCCCCTGGGCTTATGTGTGGGGCTTAATTCCGTGAGACTTACGCCGTGGCCATCAGGGCTTACGCCCCGGACGCGCCCAACGCCCAGCGTACTGGGCTCGCCTGATAGAACTTTATGCAGTTGTATGTAACTAACCTTGTATATCCTCAAATTTTCTTAATAAATCGTTGACTTTCAAAATTACTTTTTTCTTAATCATAAATCATTAAGTTGGGAGTATTTTATGTCATAACTGGAAATAAAAATTATTGCACATTATCCACTAAGACTGCTATGATAGTTAATTTTAAATAAATCTTTCAATTAAAAAGTATTTATTTATTAACTTTCGTTATGTCTTTACTATATAATAGTTCATAAATTTTTTATAATTATTTTTCTAAATATAATTTTTTTTTCACGTTTGCGAGATACAAATACTTATTGATTTAATAGCTCAGTATTAGCTAGTAACTATTTATAACTAATTAGTTATCATGTTATTGTATGGTGAATTATGTGTCACTTTATTAACTTGTTGAAACTTAGAAATAAATGTGCTAGAGAATCATATTTAAATTGTGAATTATGTTTTTATATAAATTCTCTTTCAAATAGAAAGCATATTAAATAAAAGAAGTATTTTAAGAAAAATATCAAATTATAATATTAAAATTCTTTCAAGATTCTTTACTCCTTAAGAGATACTTATAAGATTTCGTATCGAATACATTACTGTTGATGTTTGAGTTGTAACGACGTTGCAGCTAATTTGCATATTATGATATATGTCATACTTTTCGTATTACTCATAGTTGAATTATAATTTATAAATATTTTAAATAGATTATTCGTTATAATTTTGTGATTTTAATGTAATTTTTATAATTATTTTTTATTTTATACTATCTTAAATTCTTGAAATTAGTAAAATTTAAAGATCCATGAGACTTACGCCCTATGTCTCAGGGCTTACGCTTCGTCTCATCAGAGATAAAACACCATGCCTCACGCCCCTGCCTTTTAGAACACTACAAGTCACCAGGGTAGCAAAGTGGCAATCTCCTGGGGAGTGATAATTATACTACTTTTATGCTGACAGCTCTTAAAAGTTAACTTTCCACAAAAAAGGGAGAACTATTTAAATGGATTGAATAGTCATTTTGCAAACTTTGACTGCAATTACTTGCAAGAATTAGTTTGCTATGGAGATATGATGTGATAAGACTTTGATTTTTGGTTCTAATTTCAGCTGAATATGCTAATTTGCCGTTGATTCCATCATATTTCCAAATTGGCAAGCAACATTTTGTTCATGGGGTAAACTTTGCATCAGGTGGTTCTGGTGTTTTGGTCGAAACCCTTCGTGGCTTTGTAAGTGACATTTCCCTTGACTAATTACTTTTACGTAATTCTTGTTTGAATTTGATAGTTTTAATATATAAATTAGTATTACTAAGACTTGTCTAAGTATCTCTGAAATATAATATTGATTCGGTTTGACAGGTAATAGATCTTAAAACACAGTTGAAACATTTTAAAAAAGTGGCAAAATTGTTGAAGAAGAAGGTCGGGGCAACAGAGTCCAAACAAATCATCTCCAGTGCTGTCTATATATTTAGCACTGGCAATAATGATTATTTGGCTCCTCTTTTAGCAAATTCGACTATTCCATATCCTGAGAGAGAATATCTACAGATGATTATGGGCAATTTGACATCTGTTTTGAAGGTATTGAACTCATAGATTCAACCTAATCTTTTTGGTATTAGATTTAATTTTATTTTTGGGAGAGTTGGAGTATTCCTTTTACATTCATTTTCTATATTCATGGCTAGAGAGCAGCTAGAATAATTTTTTTTTTTTTTACTTTCTTTGAATTAATGCAACAGGGAATTTACAAGAAAGGAGGGAGAAAATTTGTCATGTTTACTGCGGCTCCATTAGGTTGTGTCCCTATAATTAGGGCACTTAATGTTCAAAAGGGAGTTAAGAATGGCAATTGCATAGAGGAGGAGATCACAAACTCGGCGAAAATGTATAATTCAGCTCTCCCAAAAATGCTCAAACAACTGGAGAAGCAATTGCCAGGATTTAAGTTTACAATATTCAACTTCTTCAATGTATTTGCTGAAAGCATTCATAATCCAACAAAATATGGTATATGTTCTATCTCATCAAAATCAAGTACATTTGTGTTCGATTATATATTCTGCACTCTTGATTTATATAAGAATAACAACTTATATCAAGAAGTATCATAGGTTGTTTCTTTATCCGTCTTTTCCATTCGGTGTTTACACCTAAGTTGCTCGAACTCTCCAAAATTGTCGTTGGGTGCGTGTCGGATCCTCCAAAAGTAGTGCATTTTTGGAGGATCCGACACGGGTGCAGCATCATTTTGGAGAGTCGGCGGAACATAGGTTTGCACTGTGTCAGAAATTCATGGCTTTGCTCACAAACTAGAATGTGATTCTTGAAACTTAATAGTTGAATAACACGTTGGTATAATGCTCATAACAAAATGCAATTACACAAACTATATAGAGAAAATGCAAAGTAAAATGTTAGATTATTGCCAAAGAATGTTTCCATAATCTTAATATACTTGCTATTTTGTGATTTTGATTAGGTTTTAAGACATCAAAGACGGCTTGTTGTGGGACGGGTCCATTTCGAGGGATTTTTAGTTGTGGAGGCAAGAGGCACGTAAAAGAGTACGAGTTATGTAAGAACGTGAAAGATTACTTGTTTTTCGATTCTGTTCACCCGACTGAGCTGGCCTACGAACAATACGCTGAATTACTATGGAACGGAACTACAGATGTGGTTGCACCTTACAATCTAAAATCCTTTTTTGAACATTCAACATAACGTGATGGTGGCAAGATGACTTCATATCTCAGTCCTTCGTACTTGAACAAAGTTGAGAAATTAGTTGAATCATGCAATGCACTTTTCATTTGTATATGCAATAAAAGAAGGATCTGTAATAGAATCTCCTGTTTATTAGGGAAGTCATATTGTGATTAATAAAAAAACATCCCCTCTTTTAGGCCATCTCCAACCCTAACACCAAATTTCACACCAAAATGGTGTAACACCAAATTTACTCCAACCATTACACCATTTTTTACACCAAATCTTCTCTCTCTTCTATATTATATTATTATCTTCTATTTATTTTTCATTTTTTATTTCCTTCAAACTAATACTATCTTTTTTCTTTTTTATTTTTTCCATATTCATTATATATATAACTCACATTCACCACTTATATAATCATTTATTACAAAATTATTTTAAAAGATAAATCAACTAAAAGTGAAATCATTGATAAAAGATAATTAAATAAATATTGCATCATAGTCAAATTTAATTTAAGTACCACATTTATACATAATATATGATAAATTAAAAGTCCAAAAAATAAAAAGATTGAATAAAATATTAATAAACCAGATTTGGAGTGACGAATAGTGTTGCACCAACACTATTCATGCTCTATAATAGTGCAAGAATTAGTGTTGCATTGGAGCAAAAAAAACACCATTTCTTGCACCAAATTTGGATTTGGTGCAAGAAATGGTAAAGCCTTGGAGATGGTCTTATCTGTAGTATTTTTGCATCAAACATCATCAGATGTGATCTGCTAAAAACTTAAGTTTCAAGACTTTGAACAAAAAGAACATGAACAAAAACATGAAGAAAACAAAAAATATCTTTGGTGATTGTTTGATTTTGTAAAGCCTGATTACTATGATTTCGCACAACGATCTGAAGTCGAGTTGTTTCACTTGAAAAAATCAGACACTGAGTTTCCAAAGGAGAGATTATTATGTTTCAGAAAACAGACTGCTGTTATGAGGTGATATATGAATAGACTGATAGATAGCAATTAGCTTCAGTATTCATTTCATATTTAAAGCATCAGTCAAAGTTGTAAGTTCAGCATTTCTATTCTCATGGTGGATATACAGTCAGTTAAATTGAAGATGAGGAGATGGTATTGAGCTCCATAAAGGCCTACTGCTTCGACGGGCGCGAGTCATTTTCCGATGAGGGACAAAGTGGCTTAGTACGAGGGACAAAGTGGCTTAGTAAACTTTTCGTTTCCCTCCAAATCTTCTCCCTTCATTTCCCATTCACACATCTTTATTAAAATTAGATAAAAACCCAACAAAAGCTTCATTCGATAATTTTGTTTCCTAAAGCAGAAATGGCGATTCTTGTACCTAATGAACTTATAATCAAATTCCGTCACCATACGGAAATCGTACATATCCAATAATGGCAACACAAGTTTTGTATACGTATGCCTTCTACCAGCACAAAGTGTTCTTTGACAAGAATATCACTACAAACTACGTACGGATTTCGGCAGAGGGAGCATTCCAAAAAAGTAAATTTTACCTCCTATAGCAACTATTACACCCTATTTATTATAAATCAAAATTATTTTAAAATATTATTATCTATAGCTACCTTTTATATTTTATAGCAAAATAGGTATTTATTATATACACTACCATATAGACGTGAAATACCCTATTTATATTTTTTCAGTTAACACACGTTCTCTCTCAAATCACAGCAAGATTTTTCTTCTTTGTCTCTCCACGATCTCTCTCTCTCAGCAAGATTGTAGGAACAAATTTCTTAGAATTGTTCCTCAACGTTTTTACTCCAAAAGTTCATGGTAATTGGTAAAGCTTTTGGCCGGTTCACGCCAAATTACTCTACCATTCTTCTTTTTCTCTTCACTCTTTTTTTAATTTTCGCCATTGTTAGGTTTTGAGGAAGAACTTCAAATTTCGTCTTCAATGGCTGATTCAACAACTCCGAAGAGGGTTACACGAGGTATACCCACTAAGCACTCAATTTTGATCGTCAGCGTCAGAATCCACTATTGGCTCATCCTCTTAGGCGAACAGATCTGGCCATGGCTACGCCGGAAAAGATTTGAGGGCTGATTTATTGTTCGTTTCTTTTTTTAGTTTTAATACAATGTATACAATATTTTGCTTGGCTGGAAATTTCCAGCGAACTTTCTTCTCTTCTTTGCTTTTTTAATCACATACAATGATACAAATACATTGTATTCTGTATAAAAACACTGAAATACATTGTACTTTTGTATAAACATATTATTTTTCGCCTGTATTTATGTATTCCGAAGGTTTATATTTTTTTAATACAGCTGAATATCACTGTGTTTTGTGATTTTTATTGTTTGAATACAGTCGAATTGAATACGGTGAATTGAATACAATGTATAATAGTGAATAATGAATATATGTGCATTAAATACAATGTATACAGTCGAATTGAAGAGAACGGTATACACTCTATTTCTTGATTACTCATTGTATATATAAATACAGTCGCGCGAATACATGGAACACAGCACAGTAGCAGCGAAATTTATGTAGAATTGATTTTGTTGAGTTAAATTAGGAGTGATACGCGCTAATTGATCCTCTTTCCGTTATTAAACAGCTGGACTCACCTATTTTTTAGGCGAATTCCGCTATTGTATTCATGAATACAATAGCGCGAATATAATGTGTTTTTTTGAACGGATAAATGGACGGAGGGTATTTATAAACCATTTAGCAAACGATAGGAATGAGTCTTTCATTTAATGATGTGGCGATTTTTAATTGGGCCACGTGGCAATCTTTGACTGGAACAAAAAATGGATATTATTTCAACATATTTACCTTATCCGACCCATTTACAAAAATGGGTAGTATGTATCACACCCATTCCCACTCATCTGATCTCCCCCTTTCTTCTTCTCCAATTGGGACACTGCACACACACAATAACAAATTAATTAAAGAATAGATAAAAACCCAAAATCAAATAACCCGAAATTCAAACCAGATTCTGAAATTTCTCCAATCAAACTCAGGATAAGTTTTGAAACTCTTAAATGGAAAATCAACAGATACATTTGGGTTGTTAAAATTGTCCAAATATATCAATCAAATCTAGGAGAAATATTGAAACTTTGAAAGGGACAAGTAATGGAAATCTTTGGATTGTTCATAAGAAGACAAACGAGCCACGAAATAACAGAGAAAAAACAACTACATATAACTGATACAAGCACACAAGAAAATTGAAACCAAGGTGCTAAAAAGCTTGAAATTATCACATTCTAGGATAAAGATTGAATCTATAAAAGGTTAAAAAAAAAAGTAAAGGGTTACCTTTGGGATGTTCATAAGAAGAAGAAGAGGGGGACAAAGAGCCATGAATTGCAGATGAAGTTAACACCAAAGCCATATTTTCAAACACAAAGAAAGATTTGTTTCAACAAAGAAACGCTAAAAATTCTTTGTGAGATGAGAGTGGGTGTGCTGGTTGATAAGGAAAAAGAGAGGAAAAAAAAAGCAAAGAAAAAGAAAAAAAATAATTAGGCGGGTCAAATAAATAGGGTCGGACCAGGTAAATGGGTAAAAATAAGACCCATATTTGATTCTTGGTCAATAATGCCACGTGGCCCAATTAAAAATCGCCACGTCATTAAATGAAAGACCCATCCCTATCTTTTGCTAAATGGTTTATAAATACCCTCCATCCATCTATCCGTTCAAAAAAACACACTCCATCAGTTCTGCCGTTAGTCGCGGGGGTATTTTTGTTAATAGAATTAACTTCGTGTATTTTTTTGAAAGGATAGATGGACGGAGTGTATTTTTTTGCACGGATAGATGGACGGAGGGTATTTATAAACCATTTAGCAAACGATAGGGATAGTTTTGGCCCTTTTCCGTTATTATTATAAAAAGATGCCCCTATATATGTTATTAGTAAAGCGCTAACGCCTCTTACAATTTTAGTAAATTTTTACACATAAATTCATGTCCTGCCTTGAAAGTTATGGGTTCAGTTGAACCCGTAACTACAGTGCTAGATACGCCCTTATCTGGACACGTGTACTTCGGTTAGAAATAGGGTATATTTGACAACTAAAATATAACGAAGAGTAAAGAGTAAAGGTAAACTATTTTATAGAGTAAAGGGGTAAATCTATCCCCTTTTCCTTTTCTTTTCCTTATTCTTTGAGTCTTCAAAGAGCAGGAACATTGTTGCCTATCCCCACGTATCCCCACGTGAAAGCAATATTAATAATATTGGACTCCATCATTCTTTAATAAGAGAGTAAGAGGGTGTTTGACTAAGTTTATAACCTGGTCAAACTCATTTATAAGTACTTTTTGATTTATCTAAATATTTAATAAAATTAAAAATACTTATAAGTTAAGTTAAGTGCTTTTTGGATTTCTTTTTGTCTCTAAGTGATGGATTTGGCTCTTGCTTCTGCTATCTCCTTTGAAAAATGTATAAAGATATACTGTCGAAAATGACAAATTGGACAGTCCCCAACTCAATCATTTTCAGAATTGAAAAAAAGAATTTTTATGCCAATAATTGACCCAGCCAACAGTTTTAAATTAACAGTTTAATTCATTCTGCACCCCACTAATATCTTCAAGTTGTTTACTTGTTTATGTACTCCAATAGCTTTAATTTCAGGCTTGTTTAACTTCTGCATATTTGTTTTGGTTGCATGTTTTACTCACCCAATTGTGTGTATTGACAGACCTCAAGCTGCCCTTTTCGTGTTCGGCGATTCACTGTTTGATCCTGGGAAATAAGTACATCAATACCACCACTGAATTCCAATATAGGGTGGTGGTTGCTTGGCCGAAACCCATCGTGGCTTTGTAAGTGGCCGAAACCCTTCTTGATAACTGGCTGTGTACCCACTGTGGGGACAATGGGCACTTCAAAGAAAATTTCCAGGCCAGGGATCAATCTGTTCGGAAAAATAAAGTGTTTGCTAACAAAGTGACTACTAACAGGGGACCCAAACTAGTTTGGGTTCCTAAATCTAACCCATAATTTAGATGTACAGGGAACAGTGGGAGGAAGCGGACTGCAATGGATCATGGACAGTAGATGCTCAAAGCACATGACTGGAAATACCATGGATTTTCTTTCACTGAAAACCCTGCAAGGAAGGGATGTACCCTTTGGAAAATGGAAAGAAGGGGTACATTCTAGGTATGAGGAAGAAAACAAGTAGTTCGTGTCTAAGCTGGTGATATGAGCTGCTTGAATGCAGTTGATAATAATTCGAAGACTTGGCA